AACCCCCAGTAGTCTACCGTGATAATGTTGGTGCAACACAACTAAGCTCCAACCAAGTCTTTCATTCCCGTATGAAGCATATAGCTGTTGATTACCATTTTCTTCGTGATCAAGTTTAGTCTGGTGCTCTTCGCGTGGCACATGCGTCCTCTGTCGACCAGCTTGCTGATCTTTTTACAAAGCCCCTAGCTCGATCCCAATTTAAGAATTCAAGAGACAAGATTGGCCTCTCTACACGTAGCCTATCTTGAGGGCGCATATCAGCATGTAGCATAGATATGTTATCAGATCTTTATTCAAATTAAAATATTTCCTTGTACATAGCAGAGTTGTTGAGTCTTCCTTAAGGGTCTGCTTGGGAGTTTTATGGTAGCGGTTATGAGGGTAAACCATCGTAGCAGTTTTGAGGGTAAACCACCGTAGCGGTTTTGAGGGGTTTTTAGTAACGGTTTTTAAAACACCCAACCTATGCTTGGGAGTTTATTTTCCAATAGTTCTAACAGTTTTTTTAAATGATAAATTTACATAAATGCCCATAAAGTTAAAACACTCTCTCTTTTGCTTAATTAACTTTGATAAATATAGATAATGCCTACATTATTAGTTTTACTCCAACTCCTCCATGAAGCTCTTAATTTTGATTAATCAACACAGCAAACACTCTCTCTTTTGCTTAATTAATTTTTTTCTTTACTTTTGACACGTATATTTGTAGCTGTGTTTCTGGTTGTTGTTGTGTCAGCTCTCAACAACTACAGACAAGAAACTCAATTTGATAAGCTATCAAAAATAAGTAAAAACATCAAAGTTGAAGTTATTAGAGACGCTCGCCAACAACGTGTCTCCATATTTGATATCGTAGTTGGAGACATTTGTGTCACTGAAGACTGGTGATCAGATTCTAGCAGATGGCCTGTTATTGGATGGATTTCCTTTGCAAGTAGACGAGTCGAGTATGACAGGGGAGAGGGATCATGTTGAAATTGATTCCGAACATAATCCTTTCTTGTGAATTGGCGATTGCAAAGGGATTTGTGTGCAGCAGTAAGAGATTTGTGTGCTAGAGAGAAGTCAACAGTAGCAAGAGATTTGTGTGTAGCAAAGGGAGTGGAAAGAGGTTTTTTTGAGATAAAATTTATAAACCAACCAAAACACCCCGATTTGGGGTGTTTTATAAACCCCTCAAAAATACACTACACTAGTTTTGGGGGGTTTTAAACCAGGCAAAACCAGCCCATTAAAAATCTAGCAAGTAAGGGATTTTAAATACCTCAAAACCAGTCCAATTAAAAACCCTCAAAACCAGTGAAAAAAAAACTCCCTAGCAGACCAAAGACTAGGACTTCCTCTTGTATTTAGGAGTGATCTGTTTTTCCTCTGTGTATATGTACTCTATTTTGATTAATGAAAATCTCAGCAAATCATAATTGATTCTCTGCTCTACAATTGTTACTTCCCGAATTCACCCATTGAGATCACTGGTTTTCGGCTGATTCTGACGCTTCAGTTGGATCCACAAGAGGTTTTCGATCTTTGAACTCCCCTCGGGCCTTTTCGGTTTCTTGATAATGTCGTCTACTACAGTCAGGAGGTCTTTCTTTTGTCATCATCGAAACCTCAAGAGGGAAATTGTTATTTAAGCTTTACCCAGCGATGGGATTGGTGATTTGAGCAGCAAGGCAGTTCACTGATGGGGTATTGATCTCTACATTTTGTCTTCTTTCCCATCATCCTTTCTTATTTGTACTGTTTAATAAACTATGATTATCAAGATGCAAAAATATTGACTTCTCACCGTTACAGCAGCTTGGTTTTCTTATTTGATGTTATGGTCTCTGTTTTATTTTTACGACCCACAAGAAGGGGTTGAAAATGGTAGAATCAGTCAGTTCTTTCGCTTTCCAGCCCTACACTGATATGATCGGAGATGAGTTTAGTTATTTGCACTACTTCAAGAGCAATTTTGAGATTCTCAGGGCACAAGTTGAGAGATCACCCTTGTCAAACAGCGTGCGGACTTAAGATTGATCTTACTGAAGAAAATGGGGTAGCAGTTGAAAATGACGTAGGGTGTGGCGGAGTGAAGTACAATATCTCATCGATGAGGCAGAGAAGATTATTTTTGATGAATGAGAAGGAAAGAAGAGATGTTCGCGGGGTTGTTCCTAGTTTGGAGACTCGCAATAAGCTTAGTAAGAAGCGGCGGGGTAGTTAAAGATATGGTTTTACTCTGTCTCAAGGAGAAAAAATCCATGAAATCTCCTTCTCCCATTCCACCGAGATTTCACTTCATTCTTCGAGCCAAAATCCATTTATTTCTCTGCGGAACTACAAGAGATACTATGAGAATCTCGTGACAGAAGTTGAGAAGCTGATGGATGCCATATGATGGAGTTTCTAGAAGAAACGGGGAAGGGATTTATGAAGATGTATTGAAGTGGGTAACTAATGTTGCGGAGCTCGTTGATGATACAAGCACAACTTTTCAAGGCTTTAACAGAAAGCAAATACACGATGTTTCATTGGGTTGTGTCCTGGTTTAATAACCCGTTATCATCTTAGCAATAGAGTAGTGAGGCAGTTGAAGGCTGTTGCTGAACTTCGGGCAGAAGGAGATTCGATAAAGTTTCCTACACTGTCATTCCACCAACATATGGCTACTTCCACTAAAGTTTATGAGACCTTTGCGTCAAGAGTAACACTTTGGAGGGTTTATACCACTATTAGAGGATTTCTCTGTCAACATGATCGGGGTGTTCGGAAGGGTGGTATGGCAAGACTGTGCTGGCGAAGCAAGTTGCTGCTTGAGTTGAGAGTCTCAAGCTCTTTGATGTTGTGATTTTTGCAGTGGTAAACCCAACTCCGGACCTAAAACAGATTCAACTAGACATTGCAGATCAGCTTGGTCTATGTTCCCTGAGGAAGATGTGAATGGAAGGGCAATTAGGCTATTTAATAGATTGAAGAGGGAGCACAGCTCCTTGTAAATTAGATAATATCTGACACGTCTTGATTTAATGAGAGTGGAATTCCGTTGGAAATGATCATTGAGATCTAAAGTATTGCTAATGTCAAGAAATAAGGATGTATTTAACGAGATGGGCTCTCAAAGAAATTTCAAGGTTGGTGTTTTACATGAAGAAGAAGCCTTTAATTTATTTAAGAAAATGGCAGGTGTTTCTGCTGAAAACCAGGACTTGGATCCTTAGCAGTTGACATGGCCAAGGCCTGTGGAGGCTTGCCTAGCCATTGCTTCACTTGCAATGGCTTGAGAGGCAAGGATGTATTACATGGCGAATGCATTGCGAAATTTGGGAAGGCTTCCTTCAGCAACTTATCTGGAAAGCTTGCGGATCTTTATTCAAGTATAGAGTTGAGTTGCCACGTTTTGAAAGTGAGGAATTGAAGTCAACATTGTTGCTTTGTAGTCTAATGAAATATTCTGGTGATGTTTCCATTATGGAGTTGTTGAAATATGGACTGGGTTTGGGCTTATTTAAAGAAATGGTACTTTGGAAGAAGCATGAAATCAGTAATGCATTGGTCCATGAACTCAAAAGTTCTAGTTTGCTGCTTGACAGTCGTTCCAGTGAATGGTTTTCTATTCATAAGTTGTTCATCTTGTTGCCCTATCAATTGCATCTAGAGATCAATATGCACTTACACTCAGAAAGAAGATTTAGATTGGCTAGATAAGGATGTACTTAGAACTTGTGTTGCAATCTCCATACATGATACTAATATTAGAGAACTTCCTGAAGGTTTGGAATGTCCACAACTCAATTTTTCTATCTAATTGCTAGGAATCCTCTTATGAAAATCCAGAAAATTTTTTCAATAATGACAAATCTCAGTGTCCTAAATTGACCAAATGCACTTATTGTCACTGCCTCATCACTTCATCTCTTAGTAACAATTCGGACATTGTGTTTAGAGAAATGCATATTGGGAAACATAGCTGGTATCGGAGTCTTGAAGAAACTAGAAATCTTTAGCTTATCTCATTCTGAGTAAGGTTGTTGCTAAAGATATAGTCAGTTGACTCAGCTGAGGATGTTAGATGTGAGTAATTGTTCCAAACTAAAAGCTATTTCACCAAATGTTATATCAAGATAAACTAATTTAGAAGAATTGTATATGGGTAATAGCTTGCGCAATGGGAAATTGAAGGGCTTAACTTAAAGGAAGAAATGCTAGCCTAATGAGTTAAAGCATTTGTCAGAATTGACATCTTTAGAAACATATTAAAGTTGCCAAGAGATCTTTTTTCTAAAAGTTGAAAAGGTATAGAATATTCATAGTGATGAGGGGGACTGGTTTGGTGAATATGAGACTTCAAGAACATTGAAACTCAAGTGCTACACCGGCATTCTAGAGTATGGGATTATCAGGAAATTGAATGGAATTGAAGAACTATATTAAATGAATTGCAGGGTGCAAGAATGTTCTTTATGACTTTGATGTAGGGGCTTTCCACAATTGAAGCATCGCCACATCCAGAATAATTTCTCCTTTCAATGTATTGTTGATGCAAAGTACCATTATGTTGCTTTTCCTGCTTGAAGTCACTGTTTCTAAACAATTGATCAATTCGAGAAGGTATTTCAAGGTCAATTCACTGCAGCGCCATTTTGCAAATTAAAGATCCTAAAGGTGGAAAAGTGTGATAAGCTGAAAAGCATCTTCTCTTCTTTCATTGCTGAGGGCCTTCCACAACTTCATCACTTGAAGTGATTGAATGCAAGATATGGTAGAGATTTTGTAATTGGAAGTGAAGATGACATCGACAACTATGGAGTGAATGTACGCTCCTTGACTTAAAATCTCTTCCAAAACTCAGAAGCTCTTGCTTAACATGGTCTAATGCTGTCATTTTGGAGGATGAGCTTGATTCAAATATGCCACTTATTGAAAGGGTAATTTAATATTACATTCTTCTTCCTTTTTTCTTAATAAGCTTTTTTCATTTTTTTCTACTTCTCCATTTATCAACTAATATTGGAAAAATAATTTTTTTGGGGGAAAGTAACTGGAATCTTAACCCTGAGGGGATGTTATATGTCCCTTCATTACTTTTTCGATTTATGCATAAGAATATTGAAACAATAGCTTTCTGCAGGTTAAGTTTCCCTTCTTGGAGGTGTTGGAACTGGTTGAAATTAATATTAAAAAAATTTGGCACGATCTACTTCCATCAAATAGGTCTCCTTCCATTCAAATCTTGACACATTTGATATTACAGGGATGTGGTAAATTAGAATATATATTTTCATCTTCTATATTTAGAAGTTTTGTGAATCTCCAACACCTTGAGATATGCCATTGTTCTGTTTTGGAAGAGGTAATAATTATGGAAGAGGCAAGAAAAGACGAAAGGAATGAAATAATCTTCCCTCGTTTAGAATGCCTGGTGATAAAAGATCTTGTAAAACTTTCAAGATTTTGCTCAGGAAATTACATCAAATTTCCATCCTTGAAAAAGTTGGAGATAGAGGAATGCCCTCAATTCAAGGCATTTGTCTTGACAAGCATGAAAACAAACTCAGAGGAGACTCGACCTTTCTTCATGGAAAAGGTACAACACATTACATTGTTCACTTTGTTCTTGCTGTCCTTAATTTCTTGTTGTACTAGTCTTATTATCTTCTAGATCTTAATTTGTCTTGATAGAAGTTTTTCAATTACTTCCCCTAGAACTGGAAAGACTATATTTACTCTTTGGCATGAGTCCTACAGGTTGCATTGCCAAACGTAGAGGAAATGGTAATTTCTGGCATGGATAATTTGAAGATGATATGGAACAACCAACTCTTGGAGCATTCTTTTCAAAAACTAAATTTAATGGAAATCAATAACTGTGATAAGTTATTGTCTATTTTTCCTTCCAATATGTTTGAAACGTTCTGGCAGTTAGAATCACTAACTGTTACTGCTTGTGGTTCATTAGTAGAGATATCTGATCTGCAGAGGCTAAATTTTCAAGAAAGACATTCTAAAGCTCAGTTAAAAGAACTGTATATCCATGGTCTACCAAAAGTGACACAGGTATTGAAAAAGGATCCCCAAGTAATGCTTTCCTTTCCCAAGCTAAAAAAAGTGAGAATTTCTGATGTCAGAATCTAGATAATCTATTTCCAGCCTGCATTGCTAGGAACCTTTCGGAACTTGAAGAGCTTGAGATGGTTAATTGTGGAGTGGAGGAGATTGTTTTTAAGGAAGAACGAGCAAAAGGAACTGTTAAGTTTGTCTTTCCACGAGTAACCTTCCTCAAACTCTGTATGCTTCAACGACTTAGATATTTCTATCCTGGAATACATACTTCAGAATGGATGGAGTTAAAAAAGTTGGAGGTGTATGATTGTGACAATGTGAAGATATTCACTTTAAAATTTCTTAGCCTCCAGGAAACTTATGAGTACCAACTTAATGTGCCAACAGAACAGGCCCTCTTCATGGTTGAAAAGGTATGAGACCTATCTGTTTTTGTCCTTTAAAACTGTATATAGATATAAGAAGGAAAATTCCATCTCATTTAACGAAATGACTTATCTTTTAATTTCCAAAGTTAATTCAAGTATAAATTTTTGATAATTTTATAAAATGTTAACTATAGATCTGTCTAATTGTGGTAGCTTGAAATCATTTTTTGATAGTGTAAATGATTTTTGATAGTCTATTTATGACATTGTCAAGAGGAACATCAACTTCAATTTGCTCTTGTTTATTTGGTAGTTAGGTCTTCCCTAATTTGGAGGAACTAAAATTAGGCGGAAAGGTCGTGGAGATGATATGGCAAGACGCATTTCTAAAACACCTATTTCTCAAACTTGAAGTTCTTCACATTGTGAAAGATGAATCGGATGTTTTTCCACTTCATTCCTTTCAGAGATTTCACAATCTGGAAAAGCTCATTCTGAGTCAGGGTTCATGCAAAGAGATATTCTCACATGAAGAGGTGGAGGGACATGCTAGGATGTTGACACAAATTAAAGATTTAAAGTTGTTTGAATTGTCTCATCTAAAGCACATGTGGAAACAAGATTCAAAACTGGGCACAATTATGCAAAATCTTGATATTCTTGAAGTGTGGTGGTGCGGCAATTTGATTAATTTAGTGCCATCGTCGGCATCTTTCCACAATCTAACAGTTCTAGAAGTGTGGTTTTGCAAAAGATTGAAGAACCTAGTAGTATTTTCAACAGCCAAAAGCCTGGTGCAACTCAAAGAAACGAAGATATGTGGATGCGAAATGATGACAGACGTAGTACCAAATGAGGGAGATGTAATGGAACCTGAGATTAACTTTTGCAGATTGAAGACCTTGACGCTTTTTGCTTTAGTAAGTCTCACTGGCTTCTGCTCTGGGAATTATACTTTAAAATTCCCAACTTTGGAAGAATTATTTGTAATAGAATGCCCCAATATGAATATTTTCTCAAGAGGAGTCTTAAGTGTACCAAACTTGCAAGAAGTACAGCAAAGTTGGGCAGTAGATGTATGGTGCTGGGATGGTGATCTTAATACAACCATTCAAAATTTGCATTATAAAGTGGTATGTATGATTTGCTGAGCTAATCCCCTCATTTTTTTTTTTTTGGACTTTGGAGCAACTTTTATAAAATGTTGTTTAAATTTTCTATTGTGAGTTCCTACATTCACCTATAAATGCTATGCTTTATGATTACAGAATGCTAAAACTTCTAGAGAAGATTGAAGTCATCTTTATGTAGTTTGTAAGATATTATGGTTGTGTTCCTTCTGTTCAAGTTTGATGGTGAGAACCCTTTTGTTTGTATCTTCATTGTTCTACTTCAGATTTCCTTCATGGTGGGGTTGATCCTTAAAGGTTTTAAAGGTAGTTCTGTTTCCCTCCTTTGATAGTGTGAGGTTGAATGGTGGAAGGTTTTCGTTAACGCTATAGTTTGTATTCACCCCCTGCTGCCATATTCATGGGCACTCAGAAGATTTGAAGTACTTCTTTACGTTTGAATTTTTCCTTTGTGCTTGGCTTGTATTACATGTAATGAAAATTCTCTTAGTGATTTTGTTTTAAGATTGTGCAGTGATAGATATTGAAAAGCTTGTTGACAATTTACACTTCTAAGTTCTCTTTCTTAACCACACAGGTCTCTTGATTGGCTTACTCAGAAACGCAAACTCAAGCCTATGCAAAAACATTGAAAATGGCAGACATCTTGCCAGCCTCAGGTAAATGTAAAATACATTTTGTATTTCTGTCACAGAAAATGCTGAATGTTTTTAGATGTAACTGCATGAATTGAATTTTCAAAAAGTAGTAGCATCTTGAACAAGAGAATAAATCAAGATTGAAACTTCACATGCTTTTGGGATCAAACTGTAAGCAAATATGTAGAATATAGTTGATTATCCAAAAGCTATGAACTCTATGTACCCACCAACTTTTCTCTGTCTTTACTATCACATCTTTGAATCTGGAATCAATACAAGTATTCTTCTAGTTAATGGAAAAAAGAAAAAAAAAAATGGGGGTGTAATAATATTTGTTTTTGTCATACTTTTCTGGGAAATCATAGGTTCTCATATAAGGTTTGTTTGTACAGAAAATAGAGATCGTCCAATTCTCTTATAAGCTAAGGTCGATTTGTTTCTCTAAAATCATAAAAGATGAAGTGTAATGTCTGAAAGGGTGTTAGTAGAATTGTCAATGTGAGCTTTTTTATGTTTATGTAAATGTTTGAGTAAAGACTTAGAAAGAAGCCTTGAATCGAAATATATGTATAGTTTTTGTGTATGTTGTCAACATATTGGCCGGTATATGTAGAGTCTTGGCTCTAGCGATTAGTGAACCAACGTTCCTGAATCCTGAGTTTATGTATAGTTAAGTTGGTGCTCACTATTGGGCTATTGGGCCGTCTTCCGTTTGTGGGATTTATGCTGGTCCCAGCCCAGTTACTTGGCCTTACCCAGGATGTAAGAGCTTATTGGGCCCACTTTCTAGCCCATAAGTGATCTCCTTTCTTGGGCTATGTTTTGCAGTAATGTTATTTAAACCCTATAAAAACTCTTTCTAAACCTCTTTTTCTATAAATTTTATTAAAAGAATACTCTTTGAATTTATTCCAAAAATGCCATTTTCCCAATATTTCTTGGGGTTTTCTGTAGTGAACACTGTATGCTTGGCCCTTTTTGTAAGCACCCGTGGGTTTCAGAAATACAACCTAAACCCCATGTATTTATTTTTTACCCCTATTACTTTCTTCTTGACTTCTTTGATCCTGGGAGTTTCAGTTTTGCTTGGAAAAAAAAAAAAAAAAGGCAGAAGACTTTTATATTCCCCTTTGTTAATCCTTGTTAATTATTGTGCACATAAACATTTTTTCTTCATTGAAATCCAAAAGGATACATTGAAGAGATGAGTGTATTTACAAGAGATTGAAGATTTGAAGGAGCTATAGGGGCTGGTGTTTTTCTATCTTATATCTGAATTTACTTAATTACAAGCTTGAACATGACTTTTTTGCGAAAATTAAGTGAATTGAAAAAGTGAAAATTTTAACTTTTCACTTAATAAAAAATGTATTTGAATAGTTTTATTTTTTAACAATATTATTCTTATTTAATATTTATACTTACACTTATACCCATTTAAATAACTCTTTTAACACTTTTTATCATAAGGTCAATATTTTTTTACTTTTAAATGTATGCCTTTTTTTTTATCACATTAAACTTCTTAATCAAACATTTAAATTCAACAAGATATTTATATTTATTTTTAAGGTTACAAACTTTGAATATTATTTAAATAATAATACCACAATTCGCCAATAGTAGAGCTTCTCATCTAAGTTTTGTTTGTGGGAAAATAGAGATTGTCCAATTTTCTCAAGGGCTAAGTTTGATTCAAAGGATAAAGTCTAATGTTAGAAAGGCGTCGGTAGGATTATCGGTGTGATGTTTAAATTATTGTATGTGTGTTGAAGACCTAGAAATAAGCTTTGAATTGGAGTATTATGTATAGTTTTTGTGTGTAATGTCAGCATATTGGCCTGTATATATAGGATCTTGGCTCGAGCCGATTGTGTCTCATTTCCTTAGTCAAGAGAGATTAGAGAGTGATTGTTTCACATGAATGGTGCTCACTATTGGGCTATTGGGCCGTTACTCCTTTTGGGTTTTTGTTGGTTGCAACCCACATATTAGGCCCAGTTACCTGGCAATTAGAATCATCGTTACTGCTTTTGGTTCATAGTAAAGATATTTGATCTCTAGATGCTAAATTTTGAAGAACACATTCAAAGGCTCAGTTAAAAAAATTGTATATCGACGGTCTACCACGAGTGAGGCATATATGGGGAAAAAGACCCCCAAGTAATGCTTTGCTTTCCAAAGCTACGCATAATAAGAGTTTCTGGATGTCACAAACTAGAAAATCTCTTTCCAGCCTCCAATATTGCCAGGAACCTTTTTGTACTTGAAGAGCATGAGGTGGTTAATTGTGGAGTGGAGAAGATTGTTTCAAAGGAAGAAAGAGCAGAAGCAACTTTTAGGCTTGTCTTTCCACGGATTATGTTCCTCAATTTCTCAATGCTTCATCGACTTAGATGTTTCTATCCTGGAACACTTACTTCAGAATGGATGGTGTTAAAGAAGTTGGAGGTGTATGATTGTGACAATGAGAATATAATCATTTCAAAAAAAATTGACGACCAGGAAATTAGTGTGTGCCAACTTGATGCGCCAGTCGAACAGCCCCTCTTCTTTGTTTAAAAGATACCACGCCCTTTATTTTCTTCTCTTTAAACCTGTGAGTAGATATAAGGTAGGAATTTCTATCTTTATCAAAAGAATGATTTATTTGTAATAGAATTCCCCAAAATAAATATTTTCTCCCAAGTAGTTTGAATGTTGGAATGTGTTTGGTGATTAGAGATGTCAAGATTGTACCATTGGATCAAAATTACAAATGATTGTTTGGTGTTAGACAATCAAATAGAATATTATCAACCTTTCTATTCAAGATATCACACTTGATGATCATAAACTAGGGTATATTACATGTACACATCTTGTCAATGAAAATAGAAAATCTTACTCGTGTGATTTCAAAAACTAACAACATTATCCTTTCTTCGATTAACTTAAACATTTTACTTTGAGAATCGGAATGACATTATTGGGTTGTAAAACCAAAAGTGTGAGATATTAGAAATAAGAACTCTTTCACTCTAAATTTACAAAAATCAAACATAAAATTAATTGAGAAAATTGTGATGTTTTTAGTTTTTGAAATTAGAGTGGGTGGGATTTTTTAAACCATAAATAAGGGGCCACAATGTAATTTCCCCTTATATATTGTAGTCCAAGTCTTCCTTTATACAATTTTTTATGTCAAAAGACTAATACGTCCAAGTCCTTTCTTATACAATTGTAATATTTAGGGTTCATGTGGGAGGAAAATCTCACCTCCTCTTCTCAAAACCTAACAATATCATCCCAAAATTTCAAATTCAAACGTTGAAGTTGATA